TTCCTATATTTCCACGTCCTTAAGGGAGAGATTGAGGAAAAGGTTCTCTGCGGTTTAGAAGCATGAAGGGCGATCTGACCGAAATGGATAGTTTTCTCAGTGCCTACATTATCAAGGTTTCAGAAGGTGATTTCCCACTGAACGCCTCTCCTTGGGCTGGAACATCGAGAATTGAGGAGCTTATTCTCAGAATAAGGTGGAGGTCATTTCAGACCAAGATGAGGGGTAATCTCTTCACTCTGAGGGTGGTGAATCTTGGTAGTTCTCTACCCAGAGACTTGAAGATAGTGGCTCATTAAATATGTTCATTGAAAATAACACCATTAATCACAATCTCATGCTGCACATGTCAGAGTGGGGAGAAACCAGATTGGAATGAGGAGCAGGATTCCATACCCGACTCCCAACCATCACAACCTCCCAATCCCTCACCCCCGCAACGCCCCAATACAGAGAAAGATCCCGAGGCCTATTCCCATCCAGCATCTCAGTAGCACAGGCAAGAGTAAGGGAGACAGGCTGCACTCTTAGGCCAGGAGTAAAGGAAGACAACATGAGAGGGAGGAGGTCAGGAGAAGGGAGTCAGTGGGAAGATGAGAGTAGGGTGAAGAGACAGAGGGACAGGACAAGGAGGGGATGATTGAGGGGCCAGGGAAGGAGATCAGGAGCTAGAGGGACATGAGGGGGAGGTGGGGTAGATGGAGGGGCGGAAAGGGGAATGGAATGGAATGGAATGGAATGGAATGGAATGGAATGGATGAGGGAGGGGGAGATAGAGAGGCAGGGGGAATAGAGACTAAAAGGAAGATGTGGTGGTGGAATGGTGAGTGGGATTTGGATGGGGATAGGGAGTGAGGGGTAGGGTTGGAAAGATGAGTAGGGAGTTCTAAGGAAGGGGCAGTAGGGATGGGCTGGGACAGAGCCCAAATTCACACCTTTCTTCACTCTGACTGAGCCTCCCCCTAGTACAGTACAAAGGTCAAACTGGAAGCGATAGCATTACCTGATCAAGTGATAGCTGTGAAATGCCAAAATGCAGCAGAGAGAGGGACAGAGACACGGAGACAGAGACACGAAGACAGAGAGAGAGACAGAGAGAGAGACAGAGAGAGAGGCAGAGAGAGGGACAGAGAGAGAGAGGGAGGGAGGGAAGGGACAGGGGGGAGAAATGGAGAGGAAGAAAAAAAAGCAGAGGAAGGTAAACATCAGTGAAAAGCAGAAAAAAAGGGGTGAAAGACACAATGAAAAGGGTTAATGCAGAGCAGGGGCATCGCTCAATATTTATGACATTTCCTTTGAACAAAATTCAAATCAGCTTTGTTTTTCCCGCATTTCAGACCAGGCCAATCAATCGCATTGTGCAAAAACAGTGATCAGAGAGTAGTTCGTGGATTGAATGATAGCTCTGAGTCTTTCTCAATGTAAAGATGCATTCAAGTACTAAAACTGTTCCATAGCATTGTGCCACCCAAAATACCACCTCAAAATCACGCTCCCCACCCGCCACCGACAACTGAGCCCAGCTCCCCCCAGCTCTGTAACTTCACCTGATTCAGGGTCTCTGGCCTGATATTGGGCGGGGTGGGTCCAGACTGATCCAGGACTTGTGACCAGCTCCCACTCCCTTCTCCAGTTCACCAACGCGAAGAGGAGTAGGGAGTTGACATTCGGAAGTTGAGTTTTAAGGGGCTAAGGGTCTAATAGTTTTCCTTTCCCTACTCTGGCCTTCCCCCATCTCCACCCACCAACAGTCCTCACCATGGCAACGCCATACAAGGCTCTCTCAAAACCCTGAGCCGCAGTGTGCAGGCCCAGTTTGAGACTGGCCCTCCAAAGGACTTGGCCACTAATTTCCCTGGGTGAACACGAGGAGCAAGGCACCTATTGGCATTGTGCCCATCCAATGGGGGAAAAAAAATGACTTGCTAATGCGCATGCAAGAACCAGACACTCCCCGGATCCAGTGGAAATAAACTGGCACTTACCTACCAACCCAGCATGGATGAGAGTGTCTCACCAACCTGGCAGAGAGAGAAATCAAAACAAAACACACTCCCTCCACCCTGATCCCACAGAGAGAACGGACACTTAACCAAGCAACATGGGTAGGGAGGCAATGAGAAAAAGGGCATTTACCCACTAATACAGTAGGGAAAGTAACACTTACACCCACTAATCCAACATGGCATGGACACATCAATCAACAGAGTCAGGAGAAAGCAGGAGGTAATTATCAAAAAAGAAAAAAAATGCACAGCAACTCAATCGAAACTTCACGGAGGGGACGATGGGAAGAGATTACGTCCTGGAGGCTGTCGCTGGTGGAAGATGGAAGGGATTGGGATTGTACATGGTTAGAAATGAACGGGAAGGAGTTTTGGTTTGTTGGAATTCTGTCCAATACAATGGGTCAGAAGAGGTTGAGGTCACGGGAATCAACGATCATGAAAGATTCCTCAATGGTGAGTTACTGATCATGTGCCTTGAGAGAGACTCAACAATATCCTCCTTGAAGTATCTCAGACTGTGCTTTGTAACTTAGGGGGAAGATTGTGCCCCCGTACACACCCGTTCATGGAACCCAACCCCCAAAAGGGCCTGGTGTTTTTCCTCCAGAGATGCCAGGTAGTGCGACAGACGGGAGCAAGGGGTGCTTGGAGGCGGTCCCAGTGGATTTTGATGAACAGGCCTGTAGTCTGCCAGCGGTCAGCCCCTTTGGCCATCAGGAACCAACTCCACACTATTTCGGAGCTCAGAGTCAGCAACATCGGCCTCCAATAACAAGCTGACAACCAAAATATCAAACCACCAACAGCGCTATGATAAGCCAGTGAGCAGGCACACCAACCAGTTCAATACCATAGTGGTGGCTGCTTTATATCCACCAGCGACACCAACCACTGGTCGGTGTCATTAAGGCACATCTGATAAAGTACCCGCTCAGCTGCCATCTTCCTTCTCTCTCTCTCTCTCACACACACCACCCTCCTCATTGTCCCTCACTTAATTTGCAGAAGAGTGAATAGTTTCAGCATTTACTGACAGGATGTGAGCAGCCTTGGCTGGGCCAGTATTAATTGGTCACTCCTAATCACCCCTTGAAAAGGTAGTGGAGAGCTGCCTTCCTGAACTATTGCCACCTACGTGCTATAGGTTAACTCACAATGCCATTAGGGAGGGAATTCCAGGATTTTGACCCAGCGACAGCGAAGGAACGGCAATATATTTCTAAGTCAGAACAGCGAGTGGCTTGGAGGGGAACTTGCAGGAGGTGGTGTTCCCATGTATCTGCTGTCCTTGTCCTTCTAGATGGAAGTGGTCGTGGGTTTGGAAGGTGCTGTCTAAGGATCTTTGGTGAATTTCTGCAGTGCATCTTGTAGATAGTACACACTGCTGCTACTGAGCGTCAGTGGTGGAGGGAGTGGGATGTTTGTGGATTTAGTGCCAATCAAGCGGCTGCTTTGCTCTGGATGGTGTCGAGCTTAGAGCGTTGTTGGAGCTGCATCCAACCAGGCAAGTGGGGAGTATTCCATCACACTCCTGACTTGTACCTTGGAGATGATGCAGTTATTTCAGTCACAGTATTTACACGATTGGTCCAGTTCAGCTTCAAAATTATTTTTCCTCGTAGAATCGAGAGGAGATTTCATCCAAGTGTTTAAAATCGTGAGGGTTCAGGACAGTTGATAGGGAGAAATTGGCCCCATTTGTGAAAGGCTCAAGAACAGAACGTGCAGATTTGGAAAAAGCGGCAAGCGCATCACAAGGGAAAACATTTGCACCAGACAGGGTGCAGAGGAGATTTATGTTGCCTGGGCTGGAGAATTTCAGTTATGGAGAGAGATTGGACAGACCGGGATTGTTTACCTTAGAGCAGAGGAGACTGAGAGGGGTCATGATTAACAGTTATAAAATTTTGAGGGGCATAGAGAGGATAGGCAGGAAGGAAATTTTCTCCTTAATAGAAGGATCAATCACCAGGAACATGGATTTAAGATAAAAGGGACAGAAAAGATGTGGGGAACAACATTTTCACCCAGAGAGTGGTGGGAATTTGGAACTCATTGGCTGTAAGGGTGGGAGAGGCAGGAACCCTCGTAACATTGTAGTAGTATTTGGATGTGCACTTGCGCTGTCAAGGCGTACAAGGCTCTGGGCCTAGTGCTGGAAAATGGGATTACAATGGTAGGCGATTGTTTTTGACCAGTATGGTCTCAATGGGCTGAAGGGCCTTCTTCTGTGGTGTAGAGCTCCAGGACTCTGTTTTCACACAGCAAGTGCTGGATCGTACTGCCTGAGAGTGTGTGGGGGAGGCAGGTTTACTCAATGCTTTCAGGAAGGAATTAGGTAGTTAGTGAAAAAAAGACACAATGTTTACAGTTATGGGGCGAAGGTGGGAGAATGAGACCGTGTGCACTGTTCATTCAGGACAGGCATGATGGGATGAATGGCCACCTTTTGCACTGTAACAATTCCGTGACCTTCCCCCTCTCCTTTGATCCCTCTTTTCAAAATTCTTCCTCACTCACGTCCTCCCTCCTAATGGCTCCCTCAACAGCCACTAAACCTTCGAAAGGAAGGAGTCATGGGGTGAAGGTATCGGAGCCCTTTCTGCACACAGAGAGCTGACTGGAGTCAGGGCAGCACTGACTGCAGTTCCTGGCAAGTCGGGTGACTTTGGACAGCACTTTGGTAACGTGAGGCGATAGCAGGAATGACCCCCACCCCAACCCGGGATCTCGATGGGCTGAATGGCCTACTTCTGCTCTGTACTTTACGGTCGTACCAGTTGGCAGGCTGTGTACCAACATTGTGGGTTACTTACTCTTCCCATTTCCCAGCTCGACGAAAAAGGACACAAACAGGATGTTTCAGCACAGAGATGTAAAAAATAAACTGCCTTGTACCGACTGACAGGCGAGGACGGGGTAGACTTTACTTTCCAAGGCCACATGCATCATGCAAAACAGACCAAAGGAAAATCTCTCGGTTTCACTCACTTCTGCAGGATGAAAATGCCCACCACGATGGTGATCGAAATGATGTCAGAGGTTATCCAAATCATATAGTATTCACCAGGCGACTGTGGAAAGGAAATCAACCCTTTAAATCCACCAGGCCACAGAACGTCAAAGCTTATTGGATACATATTACACAGTAAAATTCATTTTCAAACACTCCCAGGACAGGGACAGCACGGGGTTAAAGAGAGTTAATCTTCCTCTACTCACTTAAACCGAAAGTAAAGCTTCACCTACACTTTTAAACTGAAAGTAAAACTCCCCTGACACCATCCCCATCAAACACTCCCAGGGCAGGGACAACACGGGGTTAGATACAGAGTGAAACTCCCTCTACACTGTCCCCCATCAAACACTCCCAGGGCAGGGACAACACGGGGTTAGATA